CAGCTTCTCTGGGCAATCTGTGCCAGTGCCTCAGCACCTCACAGGGAACAGTTTCTTCCTAATATCTAATCTAAATCAATCGTTCAGTTTTAGGCCATTTATCCTTCTTCCTCTCACATCCAGCCCATGGCTAGACCTGGTCTCATTTACTCTGTGCTGTCTTTCCCTTCTAATCCACCCCCAAACCAGGTTAATTTTTCACTTCTCTCTTCTTTGGGTTATGACCTGCCATCTCACAGAGCAAGCAGGGCCAGGAGGCATCTCACTATCCCTCTGATCCCCTGTGAACAGGAATTACCCCCCGAGGGCTTGTTGTGGCTTCTGGCAATTCTCTGAACGTTATATAAACCAGCACAAAGTCCATCTGCCTTCACAGCCTGGCTAAAGTCAACCTTCCAGCTCAGCCCAGTAACCCAGGCGCAAACATGGAAATATTGACTGGATAAACAGCAAATCCAACCTCTTGGCTCCCAGCACCAGTGGCACCATAGGGATTGCTCCTATAAAGAACGTGTTGCCTTGGCAGAGCTGACCAGCTCCAGCCCTCAGTGCCACGTGCACACTGAGAGTTGTGCCAGGACATTTGACTTTTTTCCTGGCAGGGCCACACTCCCTGAATGTCCAAAATGACTGGAATTTCCCCATGGCTGACACAGTGCTGCCTATTCTGCAGTAATCCTCACTGCTCGGATAAATTCATCATACAGGAAGGTTACTAATGATCAGGAAAGCCCTGAAACCTTTTTGAGGCCAGCTGCTTATCTTCTCCTTTCTCCTCAACTGCACCTGGAGCAAACAGAGAAGGTCTTTCATTTGTTGGTTCCTGGAAACATCCACCTCTGTGCATGTGGGGACAGCCTGACCAGCTGTGCAGACAGCTGAATTTACAGCCCCGAGCAAACCTGCAGCAGCTCTGCAGGCAGGGAAAGGACAGGACCAGCAGACAGGGAATTGCCATGAGCAAAACTAGTGTTCTAGGTTCCTTACCCCAGTTTCTCTCTTCTTTCCATTCCAAATCTCCTCTCGAGGAGAATTCTACTCTTAAACCTGTATTAAGATCCAAATAGCTACAGCAGCTCATTGTACACAACACTAACCTTCATCAGAGAGAAAATATCCCTTTTCTGTCCCAAACTCATGCTTTATAGCAGGGAAAAAGGATTAAGGAGGGAGAGAGGAATGAAAACAAATTTCTCTCAGATGGTTTTGCTCATTGTCCTTTAAACAAGTCAAACACATCACAAAAGCAGATTTTGGAACTGCCATCCCTTTGAAGCTGTTTTTTTGGCCCAGGACAGGCTCAAAGGCCCCATGTGAGGGGCAAATGGGTGCAAGGAAAATTGCTATTCATACAGCAGAAGGTTCAAGAGGACCCAGAGACTGTTCAAGGACAGAGCAGGGGACTGGCAAGTGGATTGTGGTTTATTTCTGAGAGGGAAAACAGCAGAAAAGCTCTGGTGGAAGAGGTGGTAGGTGGGGATAGGGGATATGATGTCTTCTCACGCTGTGTAAGTTTAGGACAATCAGTGCCACAGTTCAGCTCCAGCCATAGGAAAGTTTCTGACAGCAATCCCTGCTGACATTACACCTAAAGACTCAGACACAGCAAAACATCCCCAGTGTCTCACCTGGCCATCCTCATGGCTTTGCAATGTTCCTCAGGCTTAGCCAAGAATCCCTTAAAGAAATCCAAACCCTTCCCTTTCCACATCACAGACTTTACTCTCCAGCTGCCCAAGGAGAACAACACCCATCCAACCCCAATTCCCACGGCCAGCGGTGCAGGGAAGCTGCAGAGAGACACCTGCCACGAGGCTGCAGGGGACAGGAAAGCAGCTGTGATGCCTTCACGGAGGCAGGAGCAGAATGTGGGACCTGGAGATGCTGCGTTCTGGCAGGGAGGGAGGACAGTCCCTGCCTGTGCTGCCTGTGCCCTCTCGTGGCTGCCTGACTGTGCTGCACAGACTCATCCTTGCCTTACTTTTTAGCTTAGAATTAAATGATATCCCTTTCTGGACATTGCTCTCCCTTGGGTAAGCATTGCTGCTGTCTGTTGGGGTTCTGCCCATGCCACAGACAGCAGCCTCTTCCTCTGGGCTCCTGTTGGAACTGAGCTGCCTCCAGTGCCCTCCTCTCCCTCCCATGATGTCAAATGCCAGCATGGGAGTGCAAATCCAGCCAGGATAAACCTCACACACCCTCACTGACCAAGGAAATCTGAGAGCTGCATGAGGTCACTTATCCCATCACAGGGAGGCAATGGCCATGTTTATGCAGGAGTGGGAAGGGAAAAGGGTGACAGGGAGGTCTGGGAGCCTGGCTCGGGGTGTTTCAGGGCACTCACAGGGAGGACACAGGACTCGTTTCTGGCTTTTCCCAGTGTGGAGGTCATGGTAGTGTTTCTGGCTGGCATAGCAAGCAGCAGTGACAGGGTCTCAGGGAGCATCCAAGCAGGAAAACTGGGAAAGGTCTGACCAACCCTCCTGCAAGTTTACTGTAAAGATCAGCTCCAGACCACTATTCCAAGGTCTAATCCCATTTTCTGCTGTTTGTACATCAATTTCCTTTCCCAAAGGCCTTGGACATTTTGCTTTTTTGCTGCCATCACCAAGAGATGATGATGATGATGACATCTTCCATGTTAATGTCAACAGCAGGAGGAGAGCAAGTGATTTGAGTGAAACCAGAGTGACCCAAAATCTCTACTTGCTGAGAGGGAAAGCTCAGCCCTGCAAGGAAAGAAAGATGATCCTTGACTGAAACAGCCTTAGGGACATCCAGCACATCCTGCGCATGGCAGCAAACTGGAGGAGACACGACTGAGCAGGAGAAACCTCAGCTTCCCTCAGGAAGAACAGGGACCTGCCCTGTAACAACTTACCTATGAGGGCAGTGAGGCACTGGCACAGGTTCTCTGAGGATGCCTCATCCCTTGAAGTGTTCCAGGCCAGGCTGGATGGGGCTTGGAGCAATCTGGGCTAGTGGAAGGTGTTCCTGCCCATGGAAGGGGGTGGAACTGGATGAGCTTTAAGGTTCCTTCCAAGCTAAATCATTCTGGGATTCTATGAAGAAATATCACCCACTTGTGCAAAAACTCTACCAAAACACCATCACTTATTCCCCTGGTGAAGCCATGGAGCAGCAGCCAGCTATGGGAGCAGCAGACTGAGGAATAAAAGCATTAAAACCCAGTCCTCAAGGACACACAGTGGGCAGAGAAACTCAGCGTACATCAGCCAAACTGGATTTTCTCTTGGCTACCAAGCACACATGCCCCAACCAGCCCAACCCTCAAACTCTAACCAGACTTTTAGAGGTTAATAGCAAATGTTTATTTTCCTTTATGAAAGAGCAGGGTGCAATCATCCTGCTGTTAACGGAGTGACTTCATATTCCTTCACAAATTGTTCTCTCTGCTTCATTTCAAATGTCAGACAACCTCACATAATGCATTTCTCCAATTCCTTTCATCTCAAAGTGCTTTTTACAATGTGACATCCCACAAACCAAAGCATCTCCTGCCTAAAGAGATCATCTCATTCCCAGTGCTGCAATGCAGCCACATGTTGTGCAATGGAGCAGCTAATGGCACAGCATGATGTAGAGAGATCAAAAGGTCAGGGGGAATAGACAGGAGGAAAAATTCCAGGGATGGAATTTACCTGAGCTGAAATCTGCAGCTGGGAAAACTAAAGCCTTTGCCTTCCCAGTCTATTCCTCCCTCTAGACAAAACCACAGTAGTTCAGTTTGTATCTTTCGTGGAAGAAAACTGAGTTCCTACTGCAGCGTCCCTCAGAAGAGGGTGAATGTGATGGAGCTGAGGATGGTGATGTGGTGCTGGGCATCAGCTTGCTAAGATGAGTTATGATGGTGGCAGAAGGACAGGGTGACATGCCAGTTAGAAATGAAAACCCCAGAGTGGGTGGTGGCTAAGAAAAAGCTAAATTTGCTACAAAACAGTCATGGCTTTAACACAGCTGGGCCTGAGCTCAAGCTGCAACTGACCTGTGTGTTCCAACAGCTTTAGTGACATCCCTCCCTCCTGGCACATTCTGGGGCATGCAGGAACCATAGCCACATCCCTCATGTGCACACAAAGCTGTCTCAGATTCACTGGCAGCCCAGGAGAAACAGGGATTCCCAGTGGACAGACATCTCGAGGTCTGATGCCATACCAGGGAGGAAAGCTCTGGGCTTCGAGACTACCCAGACTGGGTAAGCTCTTTCTGGAGACATGAAGAACCCAACCTGGGATCATGGATTCCACCTCAATACTGGGAACAGGACTGCCTCAAGCTTCCTCAGAGCAGAAACAGCTCCAAGAATGTTTGTGGGTGAGGTTTGTGTTTAAGAGCATCATGGGGGACTTTACAGCAAGGACTGTCACAGGGTCTGTGACAAGACCTGCCAAAGTCTGCATCTGCCTGGGACAACTGCAGCAGATTTCCTAGTTCAGGAGAAAACATCCTGCAGCCAGCTGGGAGTTATGGAATTCTCTGCTCCCTTTCTTCTGCCCCAGGTGCACAGCTCTGGCCATTCCCCCAGTCTGGATAACCCAGTGCCAAATGGCAAGTTAAAAACAGGAACAAATCCTTCTTTGTGACTGTGTTGGCAGAAAGCTTCTCTCACAGGCTCCTTTAAAAGGAACAAGGAAGTACTTGGAAACAGACTGTTCGTGGCTCTCCGTAAGATTATTGTGCTCTGCTGGCATTTTCAGGGCTGTTATGGGAGTAGAGTGGTCAGCAGGACCTTGGTGTGTGGCTGAGCACAGCACCCTCCACCCCAAAAAATGAGTGGGACAGACAGCCAGCATCTGTCCTGACAGACTGGCTTACAAGGAAGGTCCAGGCTTCCTGCCCTGCACAGGAGTTATGCCAAAGCAGACTGGATATAAAAACAAAAGTTAAAAAAAAAGGGATATACACTGCATATAGGAGACTCCATAGTCTATAAATGGCCACCCTGGAGCAGCCAGGGCCAGCCCAGCTCCAAGGGGACACCGTGGCAGCTGCATTCCAGTCACAGCTGGAGATGTGGGACAGCTGAAGGTGGAAGTTGTGCTCCTTGGTCAGCTTCAGGCAGAGGGAGGGTGTGAAGGGAGTGAGGCCCATTGAGGAGAGGCACTGCACTCACAGCTCTTCATACAGGACCAGTTTCCTTCCATGCTCAGACCTCTGCTTACATCTCACAGGGGTAAAATCCGAGCTTGGCCAGAGACATCTCCCTCCGGAGCCGCATGACCTCCCAGTACATCAGCTCCACTGCAAGGCAGAGTGGGTGTGGAGAAGAGAAGGAGGGAAAAAAACACCAAAACATCAGCAAGGCACAGCTGGACACCAGCTCAGTCCTTGCTGTGCTCTCAGCGCAGCCTAGTCAGGCTTGTCCTCAGCACGAGGGAAGCAGGACAGGCCCATCAGGTCACCCTTTACTAGCTCCACCCCAAGGCCAAGCTCCCAGGAAGCTGCTGAGGAAGGAATATGTGCCTCCATTCCTCCCCTCAAGCCTTTCTTTTGTCATTTCACCGCTGCTCAGACACAGGTGCCTCAGGGTACCCTGAGCTGGCCCCACTCCTATCATGCTGATTAGCACCTCTTAATTCTCCAGAGAAGACATCCCCACCACAGCCAGCCCTTACCATCCTGCCTCACCAGGCCTTGCTGGATATAGCGGATGTACGTGAAGAAGTTGCACACTGCTGTGATCTGGGGGAGAGAGGAACAGAGAGGACAAAAAAGGGAATTAGCTCCAGACCTTCTCTGCCTGTCAGGAGGCCCACACAGCACCCAGCTCACTGTTCAGCACCTCAGAAACAGCCCCACAAACCACCAGGTGAAAGAGAGAAGATGAAAGTTGGTTAAATATAAATAAAACAAAAGAAATCTGTGTATCTGCCATCCCACCCAAGATATTAAACTATCCATGAGACACAATATGGAATAACTCCAACCTACTGCAGATTTGATACATTAGAGTACTGTGGTGCCAGTGACAAAATGAAGCAACTCAAGTCTGTGCACAAACCCCAACTTTTAGTGTCCAAACCAGTCACATGTTGTAGGATGAGCTGTTCTGATATGCAGCTTGGGAAAGAATAAGCTTCTAAAATGCTCCATTGAATCAGAGCCCCAAGAGCAACACTAACAAATCATCCACCTTCTCCCCTCCCTCTACAGCAAGGACAACTTGTTCTCCGAGTCACAGATCTCACTGGAACAGTAACAGCATTTAAAGGGCAGGAAATTACTGTGTTTTACAAAGGGGAATTAAATAATCATAATAAAGCCAAACAATCAAAGCCTTGTACTGAATCAAACCATGGAAAGTGAGCACACTGAGGACAGGTTGTCTGAAAATGTAAGGCAGGGCTGGATCTGCTCCTTAATCATCAACCAGGAGCCATCTCCACCTCAGGAACAAAGTCAAGTCCCATAGATCTTCCTCATTTTGAGGGCTGACCCTCAGGAGCTCCCACATCTCAGGGTATGGAACAACTCTGGAGGGTCAAGGCACCCTGGGAAGGTGAAGGACTCACCCTGGCCCTGCAGGAAGGTGAAATGTAGTAGTAGTTCCCAGAATCCCCTAGCATGATCCGGTGCTTGCAGGTCCTGGGGAGGCCACTCAGGGCACATTTCCTGCAGGCAAAGGAGAAAAACACTTCAGCAATCTGGTGACACAACAGAGCACAGGGATTCAGCAGCCTCAGGAGATGGAAGTGGGAGCTCAGGAGCCAGACCTGGGTCAGTCAGCATGAAGGAAAAAAAAAAACCATGGCCGATAGGAGCCTTTTGCTCCTAGAAAGATTCCATAAATGGCTAAATATCTGGAACCACGAACTATTCTACACCCAAGCACAGCAAGGCTGTACCCTTTCCCTGGCATACAGCCTGAGAGAAAACCACAGGAAATGTTAAAGAGGTGAGGCTGGAGCAGAGTCTAACAAATGTCGTCTCGTCCCTGTCCATCTCCACATTCCAGGGAAGGCTCAGGTGTATCAGCTTTCCTGATGGGATGCAGACATGCTGGCTGGGGACCAAACAGGTAAATCCAGGATTTGAGCAGAATTTGCTCATGCTGAGAACTCCAAACAAGCCACACTGCTTTGGATGAGGTTTGTACTCCCTAAGGACAAGCCAATCCCTTCTTGTGCAGACAGGGAAGAAGCCTGGCTCCCCAGTTTCAGAATTTCAGAGTGAAGAAAAGAGCCTTTCCAAAACAGTCTCCAGCCAGGGTGCAGCTTGCCTCTATTTTCTTGCCATTTTCTTCTGTTATTTGCAAGACAGTTGCTCTTCATCACCACTTTAAGCAGTAAAGCAGAATTTTCTGCTGCATAGTCACCGCCACATTCCTCAGAGACTCACTGCTTGCACAGTGGGAAGAGGCACTGCAAAAAACTGCTCTGTGAGCCATGGAAAATGAGAACATGCAGCAGGTGACGTTTCAGAGCTTCTGAGCATGTCAAATATGGCAAATACTAGCCAAGAGTGGAAGAACAGACTGAAAGTGTCCAGATCAAAGGGAAGTAATCATTGACTAAATATTAACTCATCTTAAGGAGAGAAAATTCTCAGAAGTGCAAGATGACGTGTAGGAAATCACAAATTTGAGCACTGCAGCATTCTGGGAAAAAGAGACTCTTGCTGGTCACTCTTGGTCTGGTTGGTACCACTTAGTGGAACCCTCAGCTATCACAACCATAGCTAGAGGCAACCAAAATTGCCATAAAAATCAGTGGTTTGCATCTGGGAAACAAAGGGGAACAAATTCCTTTTGGGTCCTTTATTGCAAGATTCCATCCTGCCTGGGTGGAAATGAAACAGGGTTAAAGAGTCAGCTCAGTTCAGCTGGAGCCTCCAAGCTGCTGAATTGCAGAGTTAGTCACTTGTTAATGGATTAGAGATCTTTGATCACTGACTGAACAAGAAATCCTTCATGTAGGTTACAATCTGTGACTCACTGTGAAGACAAAAAAAGAAATCCAAAGGAAACTGATAAGGATAAACACAGGATGGGTTTTTCTTGGAACAATCCTCCTAGAGATGGCAGAAAATGCAGGAGAGTGGAAGGAAACCTGCATGCCAGCAGCATTTGCTGTCACAGGGACACTTTAGAAGGTGCTTTGCTGGAAGATAAGGGAGGGAAGGACAGAGGGAGAGCCCTACCTGAACTCATATTCAATAGCTGAATCAAATATTCTCCTTCATCTGGGATATCACATGACTCCTGCTAATGCTGCTCTTCCTTGAGGTGATCCCAAGCTATCTGGCATATCAGTTACAGCCACACAAGCTCTGGAGCAGTCACAGCCCCAGTTCTGCTGGGAAGGTGACAGCATCATGTGGGGAAGATGATATGCAGCAAGAGATCATCTGCTCTGCCCTAGGCTCAAACCCACCTCGTGCACCAGCAAGGTCAGGAGTGCAAGGTGAGCTCAAACCTCACAAGATGCAAGGAACAGGATAATACAGCTCTGATTTAATCCTTTCATCCCTGGTTATGCACAAACACACCCTCAGAGAACATCAAACAAGCTGCCGCCTAAAGGGGAGGAAAAAAACCTGCTCCTGAGTCAAGAGCACTAACATAGCACTAGGTTATCCCCCAAAACAGTCAACAGTATCTGCTGAGCTGAGCTAATTCCCCTTCTCATGCAGAGCAGAGCTGAACTCTGACTGTTCCCAGGCTTGGAGAACACTCAGCCGAACCCTTTGAACAGTTCACCTCAGTGACTGAGCAAGGCCTGGCCAAACTCCACGACACAGATCCACGACAAACAGATCAGCAGCAAGCAGGGGACAAGAGAAGGTACACACAGTCCTTACTTTGGCCCACCACACTCTTCTGCTGCCACCTTCACCACAGGTAGTGTCTGGGAAGCAACTGGCTCAATGGTGAGGGTGTTCTGCTCCACAGCCACTCGCACCAGCTCTGACAGCTGCAGCAAACAGAAGAGAGAGCAGATAAGAACATGCCGAGGTCACCTCCAGAAAGGTGACACTCATGCTGGCCAGCCTGGGCAGCGTTTGTCCTGCTTTTCCAGTACTCACCTCCTGCTTAGTGAAGTCCAGGCAAGGTCCTACATCTTCTCGATATATTCTGTCTAGGAAGGAGCATGACTTATCCAAAGTTGGACATTCTTTCCAGGCCTGGAACTCAGCAAATAAAATGGAGTCGACCTGCAGCAAGTGTCCAAGAGGAAAGGGAAGAGGGAGGGTGGGGGGAGGGAGAGATACCATATCAGAAGGTATCTGCTGCTATTCAGGTAACCTAACTGTGAAACATCTGCTTTGGTATCTGCAAGGCTCAGACACCATGGAAGTGTCTGAGGGAAGTTGGTTTGCTCCAAGGATCTCTCATCTCCCACCCACCAGTTCTGTGCCAGTGACACAGTCATACTGGGGTTATTCTGCCAGAAAGCTGCAAGCACCTCTCTATCCCATCTTCCTCCAGGACAGGGCAGCACAATCAGTGACCAGACCAAGTGCCCACTCAGCCCATGGCAGCAACAATGAGAGCAGCTGAGTGGCAAAGCACAGTGGCAAAGAGATTCTCTGGGACCTGGCATTTAAATCCCAGATGGATCATTAGCCAAACCACCAACCTGACTGACAGGCTGACTAGAAGCCCAACAAATTCCATGAAAGCTGCTGAAAGGAAAAATAAAACTAAAGAAACTCTGCTGAGCAACACAAAGAACATGAGTGAACACAGCTGGATTCTAGCACACTCTCTCTGTGCCATGGACACTGCTCACCTGGGACCAGGAACAGCTTCAGAGCCACAGGATGGAAAAATAAATGGGGAAAAAGCCACAAAACAAAAGAAAAAGAATGGAGGTTAGCATAAAAGGAAGAGAGAACTGAAAGGCTGGAAGTGCGAGAGGCAGGTGGGTCCCACTCATTCCCAAAAAGTTGGTTACCTGCCGCAAGGAAGAGGAAGGATCTGCCCCCAAGGCCTGCCAGCCTGGCTCATAGGTGATGTGGATAGCCTTCCCAGGGAGGATGCAAAGGAACAGGGAGAGGAGAGCAGGGAACCCAGACTTTGAGGGCAGAGGGAGAGACAGACAGTGGGGGAAAAGGTTTAGAGAGACAGGCAAGAAGGGAGGTAAAAATCATGAGATAAAACAGGAGATATAAAGAAAGATTCAAGACCTTCCCTTCCAGATAGCTAAATGTGCTGCTCAAGGCATCACAGAGCTGCAGCTACACTTTTAGACTTCAGTTTGAGGTGCAAAAAGGGAACAGAAATTGTCAGTTTTAGGCTCAGTTTAAAAGATGGGACACATCAACTTATAGAGCACCAACTCCCCAAACACCAAGTTGCCTTTTAGCACCTCTCACACAGGTCATTTAGGAATCTGAGAGACAAACCCCCACCCCATTCTTGGTACAGAATGTTCGGAAGCTGAGCTCTGAGATTTTCAACCCCAGGATATCTGCACCCTGTGCAAGTTGATCCCTCATCCATGACAGAGGCCACAGTACCCAAAAAATCACTAGTGAGACACATTGCCCCACCACATCTTCATACATTTTCATTCTTCCTGGCAAGTACCATAAGCTGCCTCCTTTTTGCTCCCCAGGACAGCTGTGTACACATCTAGCTAGTGGAAAGCTCCCAGCTGGAAAGGTCCTGCCAGCAGGAAGAAGTGTTACTTCCACCCATGGTCACAGCAGGTGAGGGGAACTATCAAAGGATCACCAAAGGGAATCACACAGGGTTTGTCTGAAAGATATTCACAAACACTTTGGATGCTTCTCTGCCCAGTTCCTTCCAGTGAGGAAGGAATTAAATATGATTAAATATATACTCTGCAAAAAAGAGGAACAGTGCCATGCCCAAGGACACAGGGCAAGGGGCAGAGGCTACCAGCTGATGTCCTGGTGTTCAAGACAAACTAGGCAGAGAAGAAACACCACCAAATCATGCCAGAGTAAGTAGTGGATTCCAATGCCAAGATGCAGCAAACAACATGTGTCTGCTCAGCAGCTCCTGACACATCCATGCACAGCACTGAGACCTCCTGGATCTGCCTAAGCACCCCAGGGATCCCTCAACTGCTTCCTCCAGCTGCTGTCCTGATGTAGCCTCCAACATGCCTCCCAAAGCAGAAATCTCCACAAAAGGAAACCCTCCAGAGCCTGCCTCAGCACAAATTTAGGGAACAAGCCATGTTACTCCACAAACAGCTTCTCCCAACCCTGAAACCACAGAGCTCTTCAGGAAGCCCAAGGCAGAAGCTCCCTGAGCACAGTGACAGTGGTGGCTCCAAGGCCGATGCAGTCAATGGCCCTCACCCACCTCTCTGCACTCCCGACTGACTGGCTCTGGAGGCACATTGTGGCTGGCAGCTGAGACCATTGCACTGCTGGTGCTCTTGTTTCGTCCATGACCCTTCCTGAAGACAGTTTTGGAAGGGCTCTGGAGCTGAGGGTGCAGCTCCCTGTTGGGAGAGGAAGGTGTGGATGTGATCACCAGGGTCTTCAGGGCTGTCACCTCTGCCTGCAGCATGTCAATCTGAGGAGAAAAGGCAAGAGTCAACAGCACCTGTTGAGCTCCAGCTTGCTGCACCCCACCAAACATTAAAGCCACAGGGAACCAGCTACAAGCCCAGCCATGAAGCCTCTCTTCATTCTCCCAGTGCCCACCATCACCCAGGATTTTAAACAAACAGCAGCTATTTGGGATCCCACCCCTCTGCCCCTCACTCTGTGCACATTTTGCCTCAGGCTCTTGTCAGAGCCAATAAACCCAAAGAAATTTCTCTCTCTTCAAGGTGGAACTAGTTGAGCAGCCCTGTGCTGCAGCCTTGCCAGGAAATTCAAACTCCCCAGGTCCCTGCCCACAATTAAACAGCTTATCCATCCCCAGAGAGGAGCTGAATCAGCAGCAGACTGCAGGGATGCCTCTTCCCCCTCACTCAGTGTCTGCTGGAAAGGGACCAGAGCAAATGTAGCATCTCAGAGACCAAGCTGCAGGCACTTTTCTCTCAAAATGCCCACAAATCAAGCCACAGAGAGCAGTTCTCACCTTGCCTCGTGCCTCCCTCAGCTGTTTCTCCGCTGCAGCCTGTTTGGTGTTGGCTTCTCTCACCATCTTGTGGGCTTCCTGTACCAGAGAGAATTTTAGTCTGCCTGTTGCACCCCAGCTCATAAAGCTCTGCTGTATCACATGCTCCAGGCAAGCAAGCAAAGGAACAGACATCACTGCCACGTCCAAGAGGTTTGTTATCAGCTGTGCAGAGCCTTCCCCCAGAATTTCCTGGAGAAGGCTCTCAGTGCCAGAGCCTGGACTGCATCCCCCTTCTAGCAGTGTAGTTGGCCAAGTTAAAAGGTTTAGCTCCAGGCTTCACCTCACCCTGTGCTGTCACTGCAGCCTTGCTGGTTGATCACTAAACTGTTTTTTTCTGCCCCTGACTGCTGTCTGCAGCACTGATCCTGATCCAGACTTGCTGTACCACCTCTTGGTGAGGTCACTGCTCCTGCCTGACTTGTTATTGCACTTTGTTCCCACTTCCCCTGTGGAGCAGACAGCCCTCACTGCTCTGGGCATAGCTGGGACACAGCAGGAGCTGGAGCTCAGCTGGGGGCCAAATGGGAGAAACTGGCTTAAAATCATCCTTACAGGAAGAGGAGAGTGGGGTGAATCCCAGCTGGAGCCTCCCTGCGGCGCTGTCTGGAAGCAGAGTCTGGCCAAGGCTACCAAAGGAAGGGACAGCCCTTGGCTATACTATCTCTTACATCACCCTGAGCTCAGGCAGCCAAAATTTCAGGAGGGAGTTGCTCTCTTGGCTTTCACACCCAGCACCAGCCTGTGTCTCAGAGGTACAGATGGGCTCTGGCTTTCCTCACTGCTCAGACAGATCCAGACATTACTCCTGGTAAATGGGGTTTTGCCAGGATAGAGCTTGGCAAGAAACCCAACCAACAGGCCTTCTGGACACTCACTGGAGCACAGTGTGTAAGGACATCCAGCATGTTCCCACCCCAAGCAAGAGCTGAGACAAGCCAGGGATTCATCTCTACTACACAGCAGCTGCCCAGACTACAGAGAGGGCACAGAAAGGGACAGGGAGCTGTGCTCAGCTCCAAGCATCCCCACATCTGGTTTTGCCACCAGATGTGCAGCCCCATAACTACTGTGCTCTTTATGCCACCCCACAGGTGCTAGAAGGGGCAGGAAATATAGGTAAAGGCTCCCCACGAGCCTGCTCTGAGGCTCTGCCTGCAGCACTGCCCAGCTCTGGTTCTCCAAGTGGGAAAGAACAACAGGGAAAAGGAGGAAATTGCAGGAGGAGATGGCTGGAAGTTCAGGGAAAGCCTGTCTTAAAGGAGCTGGATGTAAGCTTAGCTTAAGGAATGGTGGGAGAAGGAAGAGGGTGGTACCTCAAACAGGCTGGCTGTTAACTCCTCCAGTTCCTGCTCCAGCTGTTCTCTGACTTTTGACAATCTCTCACATTCTTTGTCCTTCAGCTTCAGCTCCTGGTGAGGAAATGGAGATGGACACGTCGGACTGCAGCAGGCCCCAGGAGTGCTGATGCCCTGCCCTGTCAATCCCAACCCTTCCTCCCCAATCTTGGACCCCTGATCCAAGATTCCTATCACTAAACACTGTACCACGCTCCATGTCACCAATAGCATCCCCCCATAAGTTGTAGCAGGATTTTCAGGCTGCAATTGCTTCCTGCAGCAGGTTTCCAGGACTAATTTGGACGCTGGCATCCAGCAACTGCTGTCCTGACCCAAACCATTTTATGGCCACTTCAGCTTATTCTCTCTTCTCTTCTGCCTGCTCCAGATTCCAAGATTGCCCCAAGGAAAGCCCCCACTGTTCAAATCTGTGCTGCCATCCCCAGGTGTTCTCACAAACCCCGGGCCTTACCTTCTGTGCCTTGTGCAGCTCATCTTTCAGGAATTCAGACCCCTTCTCCCGGATCTCCACGGAGGAGCTTCGCAGTCGTGACACGTTGAGCTGCTCCGTGGATTGGGTCTCATCCACACCTCCAGCATCCTGGCAGCCAGTCTCTGGCTCCTCCTTGTTGCCTTTGGATGGCATTAGTGGCTTCCAGTGTCCCACAGAGGGTTGCTTCTGGCTCTCTTCCTCAAAACTGACCTGGCTGTGGGGTCACAGCAGAGTGAAAATGTATGTGGGGGAGATTCCCAGTCCCCTTCTAACACTCAACAAACACATCCAGACACAGGCAGTGAATAGAGGCAGGGAGGGAGACAGGGGTAGAATTTGGGCAGCAGCAGCTGCATCAGTTCCTTTTCCCTGCATACAGGCACTGACTCCCTATGAGGGGCTTCATACTTTTGACATGGATCTGCCCTTACCCTTCTCAACCAGTGTGTCCCAGGCACTATTAACTCAGGATAAAGTAGAAAATAGCTGCTCCAAGACTCCTCCCCAGCTTTCTGAGAGAAACACACTGCAGCTGCCTTGTGTGGGACTCTGGTATACACTAAGTAGACCTAAGTTCAGACATTGCTTCCTTACTGAAGGAAAGTAGTAAAAACCAGGAATAATGCTCTCCCACTCTCAATATACAGGCCCTAATTCTCTCTAGTGCCAACCCAGCCTTCCTCTACCCCCACCTCTGCTTCAGAGGGAGAGGATCTATTTTTAAGCTACTTCCCACCTATTTCCCACTCAGATCGTCCAGGGAGCTGTATAAACCAGTGCACCTCCACTGAGCTGGGCCCTATTTCTTAGTTTCAGTGACAAGCAAGGAGAGATGTAGTAGAGAGAAGAAACCAGGAGAGTCACCCAGAACACTGTTCCTAGTGCTCAGCAGGGCTTTGTCAACTCCCAAACTAACAGAGATGTTGAAGAAGCTGATGAATTTAGCAGGCTGGGCTTTTAGGAGAGGAAAATGCCAGCCTGAGTGTCTATGAGACAAGGCACTACAGTCACTGTGGTGCCTTGACTGTGTGCATCTCCCCTTCTTTCTGCTTGGAACTCTCCTCACGTGGTCATTTGCCATTGAAGTCAGCAGGAGCATGACCAAGCCTTGCACACATGGAAGCTTTCTATCATGTCCAACCACCCAGCAGGACACATACACTGCCCTGCAGATTAACCTGCTGCCTGTTATCTTTGGCTCACAACCCCTGGCTGAGCTCTGGTGCTCTCCATGCACAGCACTGATCCCTCCTCCTAGCTGCTGCTTTTTGCACACTACCTTCTCCTGCAGAGAACCTATCACATTCTTCTGGTTAGGTTCACCTTCTCTTCTTCCCTCTTCCCAAGCTCTGTGTTTTCTTCTCCTGAATTTGCCCTACCTCTTGCATTCCAGCCAGGCCACACTCTTCCCCCTGCTCTGACTCCAGTCCCATACTACACAACAGAGCACAGGCTGGGCTTATCTCCTCAGCCATGTGCACCTCAGTAGAGTCTTGCTCTCCCTCACCTCATCCAAACACAAAAGCAGTTGAGGCCCAACTACCCCAGGACTTTTTCACCCAGCCCCAGAGTGTCCCATCACCTTTTACACTGAAATACCTCCCTTTCTGCCCCTCCAAAACTGTCCATGAGCAACAGCTGTCCAGAGTGATCTTCCAAAGAGGGAAAGAAGCAGCAGCTATCAGCTAAATTGGCTCAGGTGCCACAGGAAAGCATGAGGAAAAGCACAGGTGGAAAACTCTCTGAACCTCTGGATGATGAAGAGCACAGCATCTGTGAGATGGGGGATGACAACAGGATCATGCCTGCTGCCATGCCATGCCACCAGGATGGCATTTTGGCTACAGAACTGCCTCTGTTGCAGAGAGGCAAGTTGCAGAGAACACACCTCTCCAGGTACATTAGAGAGGAAACACAGCAGAAAGGACCCAGCCTGTCCCAGCACCTCCAGCTGCTGTGAGCAGAGCACAGAGAAAAAGCCGAATTCAGGATCAAGCAGCTATTAAAAAAAATCCAACAAATAAAAGAAGCAGCAATGAAAATGGACATTTCAACAGTTCACTAAACTACTAAGACACCCAATCTAACCCAGAGGAATTAAAAAACAATGTTGTTTCTTTATAGCTCTCAAATTCTCACATGAAAGTTGCCTTGGGAGATAGAGATTTCAATGTATTTCCACACACTCCAGAAGAAAACTGGAGGATCTGGAGGAATGAAACAGTCCCACCCACACTCTGTAATGCCAAAAACATATCCTGAAAAATCATCTGTGATGGAATAGCTCATTCTCCAGGCTCTGCAAACAGAATTCTCACAAAAACCTTGGCTATGCTAACTTCTGCCTAACTCAGCCCCAGGTTCCAGTGTCCAGCTGGAGCTTGGGAATCCACCCCCAGAGACCAAAGGACCACCAGGTACACTTACACTCTCACTGACTGGTGGCTGTTTTTCTTAGGAAAATGGATCATATCCTAAAGATCCCACACTGACACAAGAAACGCAAACTTACACACACACACAAAAAAAAGCCCCAACAACCTTTAAAGTTGGTTTCTGTAGAAAAAAAAAAAGTGCACAAAAATGTGCAGGATCTGCACTTTTTCCAGCGGGGCCCACATGTTTCCTGCAGCACTGATCCCACAGGGTTATTTCCCATATGAGCAACCTCTGCCTCTCTCTGGGTTAAACCCTCATTCACAGGTTTGTGAGAGAGACCTGACTCTTCCATCCCCACCGGAGCAGATGCCACCACCACGGACCAGCATCACTCCAGAGCCACTGACCACCCCGTGGGGGCTCAGGATCATCCCTCAAAAACTTTGCCAAAGCATCCGGTTGTGTTATATTATGTTATATCACAGCATAACACACAACTGGTGTTTCTTGTCTTTGCAATGACCCAGTGTTCTATGTCTGGGGGTGCTGGTGCCCACGGCATCTCCTTATTCCATCTCCTTACTCGGCTTCCACACAACTTCTTCCCCGCGAGGGCGGTGAGACACCGGCACAAGCTGCCCGGAGTGGCTGCCCCATCCCTGGAAGTGCCCCAGGACGGGCTGGATGGAGCTTGGAGCCGTCCGGACTAGTGGGAGTTGTCCTTGTCCACGGCAGGGGGTTAGAACTGGATCAGCTTTCATGTCCTTCCACCCCAAACCCATCCCAGGATTCCACGACTCCACGAAACCCCCCAAACCCAGCCCAGGATTCCTCGACTCCACGAAACACCCGCAGCGCCCTGCGAGCCGAGGGGCTGCACCGACACAGGGCGCAACTCCACGGAAACCCCAAAGGAATCCCATTCCCGATCCCGCCTGGGAAGGGAGTGGGAGACCCGGGACAGCACCCCCCGTCCCCCGTCTCCG